CAATTCTAAAATTTATTCATAAGGAATCATTTTTAATTTTTGTCAATGAATTTGCATAAATTACTGTTAATAAAAATAAATAAATAAATAAAGCCTAAGGCAACGTTTTTTAAACGTTTAAAAAAACGTTGCCGTAGACCTACGGCAACGTTTAAAAAAACGTTGTCGTAGACCTACAGCAACGTTTAAAAAACGTTGCTGTAGGGGTCCTACTCTACGACAACACATTGATTTGCAACACACGTCCAAACGTTGCAAAATGTCTTTGACAACGTTTTTTGAACGTTGCCGTAAACTGTTTTTGTTGTAGTGTGGGTTGAATTTGTTCGATTAATCAGTAACCAGCAGTTTGAGACTTCAAACCATGGCTGAACCAACCCACCCAAATCAGAGTCGGTTCGATTTGATTGGTTTTTCAGTTTTTTTTGCCTAGGCCTACTCACATGGATGGGCATTTGTGTTTAATTTTTTTTTTATAAATTATTAGAATATGCATGAATGTTGTTAAGATAGATCAGTGGACTTGTGAATAAATTAAATAAATTGTCTTTCTTACTTCTACTTTACTTTCTGAATAACGTGGCTTAGGGATTCAAATGACTTGCGCAATTTACTAGCCTAAATAATATACTAGAATGAAATCAACCTGTACATGTTCAAAATTGTCTAGGTCACTTTTAGTTTTAGACCATGCCCTAATCAACCTAGAATCAGTTGATTATTTCTTCTTCTCCTTGTACGGCAAAGAAACCAAATTCATACCATAAACCTACCTTGTTTAATTTCAAGTAGTCTTCTTAAATTTCAGGTATACATGACAAAAAGAATGTTAGGCACTTGTTTTTACCACCATTTTTCCTCTCAGTTGATTAGAGCAATATCTCAAAGAGCATCTTCAACGATGATGTAAAATTTGGTATAAATTAGTATCTCGTGTATCATTTTTACATTTTCATTTACATCCCAATGAATCTTAAATTCAAATTTTGCTCTAATGAAATATCTAAATTCACTTTTAATCTCGTGGATGTAAAAAAAAATATGTAAATCTATCTCTCTTTCTTTCTTTTTTTTTCTTTCTTTCTTTTTTTTTTCTATTTTTTGCTGTAAAATGCAATTTCCTTTTTTTTTTTTTTTTTGTTTTTTTTGGCATCTCTCCATTGGAGAGGTTTTCGAACACTTTAAAAATCTAAATAACAATTTATCTTACACTACAAGTAGAGATTGTCTAATGGATTTGGATGCACTCAAACAGTATCAAAAGTTGGTCAAATGGCTGATTGGAGAGGGAAAAATTTAAAAAGTGTAGAGCTTTCACAGTCAATTTTGATTAGTTGACGCATTTAAAATGAGGTCGTTTATACTAGAATAATGCTACATTTACATCCTTCCTTATCATTTGGATGACATTTCCTCCAGCGTGAAAGAAATCTGTGCAATGATGTGATGGATGGATGGATGGATCAAAATCAAGAGTGTAAATGTTGCCACGTGAAAGAGTGTAAAGGAAGATGTAAGGGAGAGTGTACATGTAGCGTGATTGTTTGTACTTAAGCTATTTAACACATCGTATTTGGTGGACATTAAAATTTAACTTTTAATTTAAGTTAAAGTCAACAATCAACCCCTTTTTCAGATTTTAATAAAAGTTGATGAGAAGTATGATTTAAAAGTTGTGAGTCTCATAAAATGTGTGGTTAAAATTAAGCCTCTATTTAATACAAATTTAAGATCCAAATTTCAATCTAAGTCAAAGTAAATTTTAATTATGTGACTTCCATCTTTTCAATCACACATTTCATCAATTTTTATTAAAATTTACTAAAATATTTATTTTAATTCCCATCAAATAGGAGCTTGATGTTTTAAACTAACTAATTAAAAGTAT